GGCCATAAAGAGTACCAGGTTTAATAGGGAAAGTCATAATGCTGTTGGTTGGAAACCTCTCCAAAGACTCCATTGAGTTCCTATTCACAATGTGCCCTGCAGGACAGGTGGCATATTGGCCTTTACTTATCTCAGTTTAAAATACTGTCACCATTCCTTCAACCCTTTCTCCTTGCTTAATCTTCTTCTTTCCTTTTTTTGTTTTTTTTTTTTTTTTGTCATCTACCACAACATGCTTGAACTTAGGAATGCTGCTTAGCATGGATGAACAGGGATGATTTGTAAAGCAAATACAGTAGTTATTGGCTTCCTGTTGCTTTTGACTGGTTTTTCATGAGTTCTTCATAATTTGATTGCTAAATCCTTTTGTCCATTGGGACTCTGGAAAGGACTAATTTTATGGAGTTTTGTATTTGAAACAGGTATATTTTCTTTTAGCTACCATTTTAAGAATTGCTAGGGTTGTCTTACTGTTCTAGGTCAGCTCATGACAATGAATGGACATGTTTATGAAATCACATTGATTCTCATTTTAGTTTTCCTTGCATTTTAGGAATTTAAAGCTTTTTTTTTTTATCCCCGAAGATGTTTGAATTGTGTTCTGGACATACCAAACTGTCCTTTACACCTTGTGAAATCTAATATTCTGTTCAGGTGTTTGTAAAGAACTACCACATAAAAAGAGAATATTACTGAACAGGCATTTTTGTCATTACTGTAGAACAGCCATGAAATATCTTGAAGATATCAGAGGATGTTGCAATAATCTTTTGCTTTTTTCTTTTTATTTGAAGGGCATATGATGGAGAAAGATAACGCAGCAGTTTTTAACACGTATAAAAAACATTCTTCAAAGTTACAATAGCAGTATGGGAAGAAAAATGGTTTTCAACTAATTAGTCAACAAACATCACCTAGCAGTTATAGGCTAACCGAATCATCCCCTTAAAGTTATTTTAAGGGACTGAGCCCATGGAAAACTTCTTACTTCAGTTAAGTTTGATTCAAGTGGTGGGAAAGGCCCATAATAAGTACAATAAGGAAATAAAAAATTTTCTTTCTATTTTCCTGCCTTATCAGGAACTGTCTTACTATAGTTAATTTAATGTCTGCTGAGCTGTTTTGGGGAAGATGTGTCTATGTGTATGCATTTTCCTCACAGTGAGTATTTATGACAATTGAAGAGAAAAAGCATTCTTGGCATTTCCCCAAAGAATATTAGTCTTGATATACAGCTGTATATCTATTTCTGTCTCAACTGGAAAATTAGATACTTTCTAATGCAAATGCTGTGCTATGGCATTTTTGTGTCAAGCAGTGACACCTTCTACAGAAAAGAATTTTTAAAAAAGTTATTCATATGCCCAGTTAAAATTTGTGTGCAATATATTTCTGTAGAAATACTTAACATTTTTTCAGTGCTTTGGTTCACACAAACAAACAACCCCCTACTGAAAATCTGAAGTTGTAAATACTGCTTAAAGATGAAAAAACATTTCATCCTTGGTATTGTATAAAGAAAAGGCAGCCAAAAATCCCTGGTTCTAAAAGACTGTCTTAGTCTACTATTCACCCTTGGAGTGTAGCAGTCTTATACCCAAAGGATATGTAAAACATGTTAAAATAGATTCAGCTTAAAAAACAGCAATTAAGTTTATAACTACCATACATTGTCTTGGCATTTTAGTGGAAGTAACTGAAAATCAGAAAAAAGGACAACCATGAAAATGACTTTTGTAGATGTATATGTGTACTGCCTCTCTAACTATTGCTTAAAGAAACAGCAGACTTGTTCTGCTTGTTAACATCAGAATTTCTTAACTTTATTTTAAAGAAAGAAATAAATTCCAGCTAAACAACTAGTAAAATAGTCTCTTCCTTAAAAAAAAATTATTGCTGAAAGAAGGCTATTTCCAATGCATGAGATATCATGCTCTACTTAGTGTTAAGAATTTGATTTCTTGGAATTATGCATTTTATTTTGTTTTCTATTTTAAAAGCTACCTGAATATGTTACAGTGTCTAGGCCTTGGGCATACTCATTGCAGGAGTGAAGGCATTTCATGTTGACTTTGTTGACTTGTTGTGAGATTCCCCTTGGGATGTTCCGTTTATATTTTCTTCTGACTTGCTGATTTTGTTTTCACAACCAATTTCACAAGGGTGACATTTTCTAGAATAGTCAATTTTTGAGGCATTCACCCAGAACAAGGGACAAGAGATGTTAAATATCTGTTTTGAATCACTCATCTGAATAACCTGAGGCACATTTCCCAACCGCCCAGACAACTTCCCGAGCTGTGAGGCACCCGCTCCAGCAAACTGATCTTTACTTCTTTGCATTTTCTTTGGTTGAGCATTTGGTTTTTAAAATGTAGAGAGGACCAGAAATAGTTCTCCTCCTTCACGATAGGGAGTGTAAACAGAAGAGAAGGGTTGGAAGGCTCCGGGGAGAGCCTATGTAAGATCTGATGTGTTGCTTATATTGCTGTAAGGAGGCAGGGGCTGCTGTTGGGAGTCATCCCTCCCTTTTTTTCCCTTTGGCAGTAAGTTCTTTCTGGTATTTCCAAAGACAGCAGCAGACTTTACTTTCTAGGGATTTATCACAAGTCATGTAGGCAGCAGCCAGTTTAGCTTATGCCTTTAAGTTTGACCTGAATCTCTGAGAATAAATGCACATGAGAATGTCTTCCATGGTGATATGTTTAAAATGCAATTCCTGCTATATTATTATAATGATATTCCCCTTGTTGACTTGACAACTTAAATTAGTGATATATGCATGGACCAAGAAAAGATTTTCACTTACTGAACAGTTTCTTATTGATATTATTGTATTTACTGAGGCTCGCTTTGATAGAATCAATCTTTATAGCCGCTCCATGGCTTCCCTACACAAATATCTATAAATACAAATAAATGCATGCATACACATACATATGCAAATATATGTATATATTTGCATTTATTCACAGTGATCAGCAATATCATCTTTTGATGTGTGGTCAAAAAGGATGTCTTTGGATATACTTTCACAGTCAGAACCTATTTACTGGATTTGTAATTGCGTAGTAAGATCCTGTGGTTCTTTGGGCAATATTTATTAGGCTCACACAGAGCAAGGAGCTGACTCTTGCTAGTTCCCTGGAGGCTGAAGATATCAGCTTCAGGATTTCCTGCGGCATCAGTTAGTGCAGTGACTGAGAAATGAGATTTTGATTTCAGAAAGCTTGACTAAGGTCTGCAGTAAAATGTGGCATAGCACATTTTAGTATCTACTCACTGTGCTCCTGGAAAATTAACCTTTATTGCTAGCTTCTAAATTTCTGAAGATCTCTGTTATTTATAACTGCCAGTGGTCATGTTACTTTGTTAAATTTTAAAGTTAACTAAAAATGTTAGTATTACACATAATTTACCTCCTAGCAATCCCATATTTCACATTTAATTTGCCTAAATTTTCTGAAGTAGCGTGTGAATGTAGGTGAGTCTTTCACTGATTCTAGAATGCTGGAGCTTGTTAAAGACCATGAAAGAACAAACATTTGTGTATTTGTCTGAGTACAAGTATTGTAAAAAATAAGATATACAAACTTGTCAAAATATATTATCTCACTTCCTCATCTTTATTTAATACATAGTAATGAATGTAGTAGATTTGTGCTTAGTTTTGAAATGTCATGACACGTAAAGCTTTAATACGAATTATATATGAAGTCATAAATTTTACGCAATTCTTCCCATAATGTCCTTTTTTATACCCCTGATATTTCTTATTTCTAACCTGTTCTCTTCTAAGATGAAGATATTTTAAGATACTGTTTTCAAAAAATGTCTTGGGTACTCAGTAACCTGATTATCAATGGAAGTGCAAAAGATTCACAGTCTCTTTAGAAATCAAAACTTGTACTATGTGGCCCCTTGGAGAATTTTTTCAGTTGCTGTCCAGTGCTATGATTAATGGAGGTGAATATCAAAACCACATTGGTTTAGTCTGGGTCTTAGTTATAATATTAAAGAACCATTGATCCCAGCCCTTTCTCGTCCCCATTAGACAAGACTTTTTTTTGTGTAAGCTACTTTAATGAATATAGATAGCATACATAGGCTGCTGTCGAGCTTGAATAGGCAGATTTGTCCTCCTTTCCTCTTTCAACACACTGAAATACAAGATATTAGCCCTATCAACTTATTCTGAAGTAAGATGATAATCATCATGAGTAGATGACATCAATTCCTCTTACTTATATGAGGAATTAACAAAATGTTTAGTCCCTGCTTACACCAGCAGTTCATACCACTTAATACCCAGAGTAAATAAATAGAAATGCAAGTCTTTTATTCACATGTTGGAGGTGAAGGCTAAAGCACAGTCTGTGCTCTGCTTATCTCCATTCTAATTAACATTCACTTCTGATTTAGTGCAGTGAATATGTTAGTTTGAACCTGCATGGAAACTTGCTCACCTAAAAGGAAGCTGCAAGTGTCTGTGCTGGTTACTTTGATGTTCTCTTACTTCCCCCCTTTCTCCGTTCCCAAGAAGATGATAATATTTTTTTTTTTAAATCAACTGTTCATTTTATTGTGAATCTTCTGCTCAATTTGTGATATTAATAAATGAGAGCAAAAGTAATGAAGAAAAGCATTATTTTCTTTTTCATGTTGGTGGGTGGAAAAGGTTGTATGATAAAAAGAAATAAATAGATGTTTCAGGAGGTCTGTTATAAAGTTTTAGCAGGCACCCCATGGATTTTCAATATGTAGACAAAGTTGCAGCTTAAGTTCCAAGGTTAAATATAGTGTGTGCATGTATTTGTTTTATAATGATTTTGGTTTGCATACTTCTTAAAATAAAGAATAAAACATTTTTAGTGCTTTAAATTGCTCACAAAAACTGTATTTAGCTGTTCTACAATGTCAGTATTTTGATTATTTACTTCAAGGTTTTTTCAGCACCAGTGTACAACCAGTGTTTCTTTCTATTTTTTTTGGTACTCCAGGAAGCAGCCACGGAAAGACAGAAGATGAAAGCTCCTATTCCCAACTTGATTCTCTTGTATGCTACTCTGACTCAGAGCCTGAAGGTTGTAACCAAAAGGGGATCAGGTAAGTAAATCTTTATTCTCTGTGGTTACAGTGTGGCTTGGAAAGAAGTGCTTAATGTTTGCAAGCATACACCAGGATGCTGTTTGTGGTGGTTTGGAATACAGTTAAGAGGATCTCAAATTCTGCAGCACGAAGAGTTGACAGCTTCTGTATATTTTTTCACTATTGTTTTATGTAGACTTAATGAAAAAATTCCGAGAACTTTTTAACTTACTTAAAAGGCTATGTTGCAGTCAGTATTGTTGGGTTACTGGATTTATCTGTTTTACTATATACTTTGGAAAACTAAGATCACAGAGTTTGGATTTAACAACAAATAGACCAAGCACATTAAATTTAATAACCATGAAATGTGAATAGCAAAATGTGGTTTTGAAAGGGGTGCCTAATACATGGTTGAAGAGCCTAATTCAGGAAAGAAAAATAGTCGGTATTCAGGTAGTTGGGTAGTTTTGGATTCATTTTTTTTCTCCGTCACCCTGAAATTCTAATTTTACTCTCTTTGGCTTTTCACTGGGTAATGAAAATATAGAATTCTACTTCTGCAACCTATCTTGCTATACTGCACTAAAGAAAATGAAATCCTTAATGAAAGCCTTAATTCATTGTTGGTGGATTAATGAAAGTCTTAATCCCATGTTGATTGAATTAGTTAATTGGGTTTGTTGTTAGTTGTAAGTTTCCTGTTGGCATTGGAGTGTTTTGGGTAGCTTTTGTTGTGCTTTTCCAGAAGTCTGTCTCTGATTTATTTTTGTCTTCTGGTTGGTAGTAGTTCTAAACTGGTGCTTGGGGAGAACACAGCTCTTTATACATTTTTGGCAACATCTTAAATGATACCTTGCCTTTTCAATGGATTACATTTGTAACAGCAGAATGAAATAGATTACGTCTCCAATATTTTATTAGCTGGAAATATTGATGTAGGAAAGGCAAACATGGAGTACTACTACAAAGTAAGGTATTCCTTAATGAAAACTTGAGAATAAAGTATATTTGGGGTTATTTAAACCCAAGAAAAATGAAATACACAGACTGTGTGCAGAGCAAAGGATCTGGCAATAAATTGAAGTGTTTATAAGCTGCTGTAACCTTGATAGATAATGTAGATATCCTTTGAATATGTCTGGCTAAGATTGTCCTGTTTGATTAAGATTTTATACTTTTCAGCTTGAATTCAAGGCCCCTTAATTCAAATATAGTAAAAACATTATTGATCTTAAAGTAAATTTTACAAAGACATCCATTCTTAAGGAACTAAAAGAAGTCCAGCTATCACTTGTTACTTGAAAGTGACAATGATAAATTGGGTTGTCTTTGCATTTTATTTCATAACTTTTTGCCTTTATCCTCTTCATCTGATTAACCAATGCAAGGAAAAAATGGTAAATATACAATGAAATTTATTTTTGGGAAAGTAATATAATTACTATCCAGCAAAAGAAAAAACCAAAACATTCAAAATTTTTCAAATATATAGAATTTGTTCTCATGCTGATGCTGTAAGTAAAAGGAAAAACTATAATGGAAATCTTTGTATCATATCTTACTGTAACATGGCGTCTTGAGGTTTTTGCATGTTTCTCCTGTGTAAGGCTTCAATTAGATGTATCACCAAGGGAGCAGTTTGTCATACTGTGTGTGCAAAGCAAAAAAAATTCTGATTTACTGAAATCTCAGATTCTTCTGCCTTTGGCCGTGCTGCTTTGTGATTTAAGATTTGAAGAACTTCTTCATTGCTAGGTGGAATGCAGTAGTGCGTGATGGTTCTTGGTTTGTTTTCATTGTTGTTTGGTTTGATTTGGTTTGGCTTGGTTCAGTTTTTTTACATCCCTTAGGTGCTCAGGAGGGCTATTTTTGCAATGCTGAAGTGTTTTTACAAAGAAAACTTTATTTAACAGGAGTTTTAACAAAATAAGATTGACTTATGTGTACTGTGAAAATATAAATGGTTTCCTAATATTAGTGCAACTCATAATTGTGAGTAGGAAAAAATATTGACTTGGAAAGTAGAACTTGAGTTTTATGTGAAAATGTTAGCCAGAGGCAGAGTGTGGTGAGGGCATGGTTTAAATCTCTTCAGTCAGTTCCACTTGTGAGTGCATTTTGTTCTTGAAATGTCACCATGAAAGCAAAGAAAAAAATTAAAAAGTAACATTATGTATTTATGAGTTGTTATAAATATGGAGTTGCAGTATCCACCTTTTTGAGATGTACTGCTTTGCTTTACTTCCTTCTCTGTCATAAATTACAGGAATGTAATAAGGGTAAAAAGTTTGCATCAGTATGCTAGATTATTATTTTATTTATTTATTTATTTATAATTTATTTATATATTATTTATTCCTTCTAATTCACTTTTGTTGTTCCTATTTCTGATGACCAAACCTAAAACCACAGAACTTGTGTTATTTATTTATTTATTTATTAATTTATTTATTCAATGTATATATTTTCATATATATTAGATATTTTAATATATTTATTAAAATATAGTTAATGTATGTATATTTTATATTTTCAGTGTTTAATATAAAAAAGAGATCTGTCCTTGAAAATATGTCAATATGGTCAGAGTACTTGACCTGTTTTCTATGTTTATTTGTCAGTTCTGATAAAAAGATAGTGATTAATAAAATAATGAGTTTGTCAGTCTGATGGAGATACATTTCCAACAACTTCTCTGATTTTTCAAGAATTTCAGAAAGTCACTTTGTAAAAATCCATAGCAATTCTGGCCATCTATTGGCTTTCAGGACTGAAGTTATATCAAGTAATTAGCTATACGTGGAAACAATTAGAATCAATATATTATTATTGGTTTTGTTTGTTTGAGAAGAGGGTTAAAAAGACTTTACAACAGAAGAAATCTTTGGTTGTGCTGCATTAGATTTAATCTCTGATCATGAAAGCAGTCCTTATACAAAACTCTTAAATTATTTCAAGGCAGTCTTTGAATCACCACTGTGTGCTACAAATCAAATAAATATAATAATATAGGGAATAAAAGGAACAGTGTTAATCAGATATTTATTACATTATACAAAAGACATACTTTAAATTAGTTTGGTCACAGCTTTTCAACTCAACCTGTTTAACACTTTCTCTTGTATGATTGTCTCTATCTGACAGAAGAGACTTTTTTTTCCCAGTTAGTATTGTAGATAAGTTTTGAACAGTTTCAAGCTACTTTTTGATATGTGTTGGATTTCTTTTACATTAAGAGCATATGATGACTGTGTTTGTTACATGAGAATGGATAGGTGAGCAGCTGTAGTACAAATTGCATTACTAAATATAGATGATACAAGAAACTTCTTCCTAACCCATGTATGCAAAAGACCTGTAAGCACACCTTAACTTTTCCTCTCAAGTAGAGTTGACCATACAACACCTACAGGTTGTAATGCCTTCTCAAGAAAGAAAGAAAGGATTCTTTGCTGTAAGCGTCCCTGCTCCAACCACTAGCTCCACATGGACACCATGGTTATTAATTGGGTGTTTCAGGTGTTCCGTGAAGTCTCCCTGAACCGTAGAGGCTTCAGAGCCGGGAACAGAAACTGCAAAGAGGAACTTTCTTTTGTCAAGTAATAGATCTCAGATAAGATTTGCTAAATGTGAAGCTGATTCTTGCACTACTTCTCAGCTCCTTTACATATCTTAAAGCATCTTCCTTCATGAAACTGTTCCTGTCTGATCACAGTGATCTGTTTGATGCAAAAGAAGAATAAATACTTAAAGCCTACATATTTTGATTCATTCAGCACATATTTTGACAGGATTTGAGTTTTACAGGAATTGAATTAAACTTAAAAAGTGTAGAAGAAAATGCCTGTTTCTTAGCATGAAACCAAACTACAAATAAATTTGTGCTGTGCCTAAGTGTGTAGATTTACTTTCTGTGCAATTTAGTTCTGTCCTTGATAGTATTTTGAGAACTTTATGGTAATGCATTTCTAAATGTTTTCCTTTCAGTGACTTTTCCTGGAATTATCCAGTTTCATAGTTTGAACTAAATTGTTGGTTTTCTTTTTTTTTCTTTCTTTCTTTTTTTTTTTTTTTTGGTCATGTGGTTTTACATTCATAGAACTTAGATTTCTAAAAGTCTCTTCTTTACAGGTTGAATGGTATTTAATCACTTACTTCTGCTGAACAGAATTTTGGCTTATGAATTATTTAATATTCATCAAAGAGGAAGTAGGTTAGGAGAGGGAGCCTCATGCTGATGCATATAGACTTTTTTCTCTATAAGACATATGTTAAATGAAATACTTGAACACTGCATTGCCATCTGGTGGTTTTTTCCAAGGATGCTGAGTAGACAAAAGAAAGAAAGGTTTGGGATTTTTTTCTTTGAGAAAAAAAAAACCAAAACCCACAAATGTGGTAAAAGGGAAAATGTGGAAAAAAATATGAAAAGAGATCTTGTTACATAAAACAATTATGAGCTGATCAGTTTATTCAGACAGTATTATTGTAGTCTCTTTTTTCACGCTTAGATGGCTTAATAACAATCTGGCTGCCTTGTATCAAAGAGGTGAGAGTTGCTATTACTGCCTCTAGTTTTCTGCTTTTCTACATATTATTCTGCATTATTGGTTGATTAATATTCTGTGTTCAGTTCTGCTGTTGTGAATAGAAAATTTCTTTTCTGGATCAAATTTATTCTGCAATAGAATGATTTAACTAGAAGGAAAAAATATTTCCAGTGATGGGTTTTTGGGATAGGCATATGAACCTTCGCATCATTATGATGAGATTAAAGTCTAGATATGTATTTTGTTGTGTATTAGTAGATTGCTTCTCTTTTTAAGGTCTAGTATTTTTTGCCTTAGCTATTATTACTCATTATGGGTGGTTCTTGTCGTACTTGGATGAAAGATCAATATTATGAAAATAAGGTAGTGAAGACTTTGACACTGAGATGCTATTTTTGAAATTTTTTTTTTGTATGAGCAAAATATTAATTTTAATGAGGGAAAAATTATTCCAGATTTTTTTTT